CTGAAAACATATCCGTGCGTGCTCTCTGTCCACAGGTGATGCTGAGGAGTGTATTCAGGTGCCTTAGGACCAATCTTACAGCTGGTCAAAGAAATATGTCTCAAAGCAGTCTTTCTGGCAAAGTAGCCATAGTCACTGCCTCCACAGATGGGTAAGAATGACGTGATTGACCCCCGATTGTTGGTGCTGTCCAGGAAAAACCAAACAGTAACCAAGCAAGGACTGTGTTAGTCACCTGTCTCCAATCATGACAAATCACTGATTATTGGAGAATTAGTAATACAAGAGCTTAGTCCATGTTTGTTTGATTGTTTTGTGTATGGTCTAAAATGCTTATTTCTCAGATTCAGCACATTCATGAGAGTAATTACAGCTGTAAAGGGGTTAAAGCGATGCATCATAGAGCTCTTCTCCCCCCTCCTCAGAATCGGGCTGGCTGCGGCTCAGGCTCTGGGAAAAAGAGGTGCCCATGTGGTTGTGAGCAGCCGGCGGCAGGCCAATGTAGACAAAGCTGTGGCACTGCTGCAGAGCCAGAGCATCCAAGTGACTGGAACAACCTGTAATGTCGGGAAAGGGGAAGACCGAGAAAAACTGGTTCAGATGGTAAGAAGCCGTCCATCGTGCTCAGAGGTGTTAGAGCAGCACATAAACTATACAAGACCAAGCTTTGGCTCTTTATTATAACACAACTATTAAATGGGTGCTCATTTCTAAATCTATTTTTACTCTTGGACTCTATTAGAGTAGCTTCATGGTTCAAAATAATTATTATATGTCTAGCCCCTCAGTTGATCCTCTGTGAAAAAACCTATGAAACTTTATCTGGCATGAGCCACTTGAGAGGTGGAGAAAAGTTCAGCCAACGTGCACCTAACAATTGTTATCAATCATTAACAATAAAAAGGAATCCAAGCTGGATTTTAGTAGAATAAAGTTTAGCCTGATATTTTCCCTGTTTTTTCAATGTAGTTCCACTTAAAGTTGCTATTTGTGAAAATGTGTTTTTATAATGTTTTTATATGAAGCCGAAGTCCCTCACTGCCACATTCCTCTGACCTGTCAGCAACAAGAACGCTTCCAGTTACAGTTTCCCTCTTTTTCTATGCAGGAAATAAGTAACTAATTGGCAATGAGTTAAAATCTGGCCATAGTTCCACCCCAGATGCTTCTTACTTCTGCCAGGCTTAGTGTGAAGGGCAGAGTCAGAGCATGCTGCTAACACAAGCACTGAAACTACAGCTGTGCGCGACTGGACGACTCAGAGAACCACTATGACTGCTTCAAATACCTCCCGTTTCTAATGTGGACTGTATGTAAAGCGTTTTCAAGATTTAAGTTGCTGTCACAGCTCTTTCCCACAAAGAACTGAACCCACTCTTATGGTCTTACCAAACTGTCCAAAAACTGTAATTTTGCCTTTAGCTGCCTGTCTACATCTGTTATTAGTTACTCTGTAACTTTGGTGTTTTAACATATTTAGCTCTGACGCAAACTCATTAAAGTCCCTGATCATCCACACCACACCTGCAGGGCTTTCCCCACAGTTTAAGAGCCACTGTGGCTCAGGTGGTAGAGCGGGATATCTACCAATCAGAGAGTTGGTGGATCGGTGTTTGACTGCACCTGCTGAGTGTGTGTGAACAGATAAAAGCTCGTATGAATGTGTGTGTGACTGGGTGAATGAGTCTGTATAAGTCTATGCTATTTAAGTCCACTTATCACGCACTGCTGTGCTTTCATCTGATTGGCTGCTCCTCACAAACAGACTATTTGTACAGTCTGGAGCTTATCTCTGTTTACCTCAGTGTTCACAGTCAGAGCTTTGTGCCTGAGATGTGCATGTTAAGGATATCTGTGCTCAGTGACATCACAGAGAGCTAAAAGCAGAACAAGCTGCCTGAAGCTGAGCGTTTCGGGCGGTCTGAGCCTGAGCTTCTGGCTCACAGTGATTACTTGTACATATGCTGGTGTCATTATTTGAAACTCTGGCCATGTTACTGTGAGCAAAAAGTCCCCTTTCATCATCCTCAGTGGTGGTGGAAAAAGTAAATGGGAACCATTAGCTGAGCCTCTTTTGGTGGTTTGGTGGTTACCTAGAGCACTTTCTGTAGCTGCACATGCTCAGGGGGGGATAATGGACCCCTCTGTCTTAAAGAGGCACTCCAGCTCAGCCATATTAGGATGTCTGGTCCGTGATGTCATTCCACAATAACCGATGGGTTTAAGGTGAAGCAGATTTTCTTGGTCTGCTGTATTTTTAAGGTTGGGGTCGCTGTCATGCTGCATCACTCAACTGCTCATGAGCAATTCAGACAATTCATCAGACTGCAGACGTTTCCCAGAAGCACCGTGGACTGCTAAGGTGCTCTGTGGAAAACTTTAGTGGAGGTTTTTTACATTTTTTTTGTGGTTTCTTCTGTGGAGTCCTGCCACGTAAAACATGCCTGCATGGTAGAGTCATTAAGACAGACATGAACCAGCTCCAGCCATTCCTTTAGCTTTTCCTCTGAGCTCCTTTTGGACTTTGTTTAGTATTTAGTGGCGTACCTATGAACTTATTGTATTCAACACTTGTTTTTAAGGACGACAGCGGCCACACAAGTAAAATGCTTTGAGTTTTAGACAGTGTATCTGATTGTGATTGCTGAACAGTGTCTTTTACACGACTTTTGTAAGAGTTTCATGAAAGCAAACAGTTCATCTTTTGTGCAAAGCGTGGTTCACATCAGCAGCTGCTTTTGTGACTCAAACTGCATTAAGAGATGAAGTGCACGCGTCTATTAAAATTTCCTCCACTTGTTGGCGTCACTGTGTAATAGCGTGAACGAGTGCTTGGCTCTGTGTTTGGTACAGACTCTGGATCGGTGTGGGGCCATTGACATCCTGGTGTCCAATGCAGCAGTCAATCCTTTCTTTGGAAACATCATGGACTCCACAGAGGAGGTCTGGGATAAGGTACGTACAAAAATTGAGCCCACACCAATCATTTATGATGTACGACATAAATTTGCATTTTTTTTTTTTTAATGAAGGATACAGTAGCAGTAATATGTTGTCATAAAACAACAACATAAATCCAAAATGTGGTTCTGAAGAGCTGTTTACGTTAGTAAAATGATAACTTGAGAGATCACTCTGTTATTTAAAGTATTCACTGTCACTGTGTCGACATTTTCAGATCCTAGACGTGAACGTAAAATCAGCCTTCCTCATGACCAAGCTGGTGGCGCCTCATATGGAGAAGAGAGGGTGAGTGACAATGGCACCAAAAGGGGCGTCCATAAAAACCTGCCTGCTGTAATATTTCTAACACCTCTCACACGTCTGTGTTTTTCTTTCAGAGGTGGAAATGTCATATTTGTGTCATCTGTGGCTGGATACCAACCAATGCAGGTCAGTGAGGAATTTCTCCTTGGCAGGAATTCGTGTGGTGCTGTGACTGAATCTCATCAGTGCAGTCAGGATTGGTTGGTCGCCTCCTTACATCACATCGAGACATAGAGATGGAAGTTGTAATGTT